CCAACTCAGAGCAAGCACATGCACCATTCCTTCCCAGCCATCCAGGGCTGCCCGCTGCCAGGAAGAGGGGCGAAATCACCAGCTGACTGATGGCTACCAGCCCTCCTGCCCCCTGCCCCCACCCCCCACCCCCTTCCTGGCCCACAGCCTGCCACAGAGCTTAGTGCTGTGGCCCTTCTATGCTCGCTGGGCTGTCCCCAGAGCCAGGGGCCAGCCGTGGGCTCAGACCGTTTCTCATTTTTCATTGGTGGTGAAGGTCGCATCCAGCAATTCAACAGTTCCCAAGTGAGGCGTCTGTGGCAATGATGACACAAGAACGGTTACATTCTCCCAGTGGCGTGACCGTTCGCACCCTGCTTGAGTCTCACTTAAATTCTAACACCCTTGGAGTCAACACATGGATTTGCCCACACTTGTCCTCTATATACAGGGGCCCTGGTGGCATAGTGGTTACTGGTTGAGCTGCTAATTGTAAGATCAGCAGTTCAAAACCACCAGCTGCTCTATGGGAGAAAGACGGGAGTTTCTGATCCCATAAAGTTATAGTTTTGCCTCAGGGATATGATTGATAATGTTCTCTAATGTTAAATGACAGTGAGGTCTTTAAGGTGAACCAGAGACATGTATAAACCCTGGATATGTGAATGGGTCTTGGGTTCATATAAAACTCTAGCCCCAATCTAAGAACAATTCGTTTTTATGACATGGTCCTGCTTGATACTCACCCTCATACAGACATCACTGAAGATCTGTGTGCTATAGCAAAGTGTGCTACAGCAAAGCTACATGAAGAAACTAGATGGTGCCCACCTATCAGGAAGAATAGTTAGGGTTTTACAGGCTTTTCTTCTAACAAGTGGCCATTGAAGTGAGGCTTCAACTAAGGCCACATGGAAGAAGCACACCAGCCTGTGTGGTCCAAGGATTGTAAACAGTATCATCCAAATCCAAAGGAGGTGTGGGAGTCACCTAATCTGGTGTCACTTTAAGGATTAAGAGTGTAGGGGTGGAGTCTAGGCTGTCAATCTGGAGATAGCCAATGAGACTTCTGTGTGGGCGTGGCCTTCTGAGAATTCTAGGAAATCTGGTACTTCCTCCGGGGAGGTGGGAGACACCTCTCTCTGCTACTCCCTGGGAGACATTGCAGAAGACAAGCCACATAGACGTAACCAGACCTCACAAACCGGAGAAGCCACAGATAGACCCCTGCCAGCACTGAGATGCTTACAATGCCACTGGCTTGTGATTGTCCTGCATTTGGCTTCATTGCATGTGTTTTGTGAGTCTGAAGAGGACTTTATGGATTGGTATCAGACATATGGGCTAATATGAGACTTATAGTCTTAGACTGGACTGGGTTGGGATGTTTTCTCAATGTTCAATTCCTCTTGCATCTAAACTTCTCCCTTATATACATATGCATGTTTATGAATTTGTTTCTCTAGTCTACCCAGACTAACACAGGAGGGAATGGTACCAGAGCTTAGATGGTGAACATTCAGTTTGCAGAAGGCTAGGGATGACAGTGGAAGCCCAAAATCCATGTGCAGTGTCTACACACAAATTAAATCTTCAATGAATCCCCTAGGACTACAGTAGACACAGTAGATGATTATAGTAGATGCAGTTAGGTTAAAATATAACATTTTATTTGATCCTCCCTTCTGACGCATTTAAAAACTGTATCAGTTTTAAAAAAAAGTGAAGGAGAAATACATAGGGACAAGGCCTCCAGGGAATCCCCTCTGGACATAAGCCAGGGCAGTGCAGAGCCTTGCTATCATGTAGAGTGCATTGGAAAGTGGATGATGGCAGGTATGGCTAGGTTAAGACTTAACACCTTATCATTTGATTTATTTTAAAGTTTTAAATTTAAAAATTTTTTTTTGCTTTCTTTTTGATTGAGCTTTTTCTGTATTCTGTTTCATCATAGTTGTTAGCTTTATTGTTTCTTGTTTTTGCATATTTTTCAGTATTTGAAATCCAGTATGAGTGAGTCTACAGAAACAGTAGCTAGGATTAATGGGTTTTTGGGGGTTTGGAAGGAGAGGTTGGGGGAAATGGGGAACGAATAACAAGGAGAATAGAAAGAAGACAATGTCTTACAATTGATTGTGGTAATGATTGTTCAACTCTTTTTGATATGCTTGTATTACTGAATTGAATAATATGTAGACTGTATAAAAAAACTGATTAAACAAAGAGAGAGAGAGAGAGAGAGTTACAGTCTTGGAAACTCACAAGGACAGTTCTACCCTGTGCTATACGGTTGCTATGTGAGTCATCATCAACCCAATGGCAGTAAGTCTTTGAGTGACTCCTACATACATAAATTATTCACGGTGACAAAGAGCAGAAAAAGCAGAAAAAGCTGCAATGCCATCAGTTAGGAACTAGTTAAACCATTCTGGGAGCCATAGTAGTTAAAGAAGAAGATGTACCTCTATCTGGCATGGGAATAAATCCACAATATAGTTACTCACTCTCATTCCCTGCTATTTCTGCCATTTCTGACTCACGGTGACCCTAGTAGACAGGGTAGAACTGCTCGTGTGGGTTTCCAAGACTGTAACTCTTTACAGGAGTAGAAAGCCTCATCTTTCTCCCTAGTAATGGCTATTGGTTTTGAACTGCTGACCATGTGGGTAACAGCCCAATGAGTACGCACTACAGCACCAGGCTCCTTTTTAAGTAAATTCCAAGGGAAAGCTTGTCACTTCTGCAGGGTCTGAAGCCGGCATCTGTATCACAATGCACCACCGATGAGTAAAAGAATGTTTAGGATAATGCATAGGGTAGGTTATCACTCAGATATAAAAGCTAGAAAGAACCAGAAACAAAACAATACCGGCTCTGGTTTTCTCCCAGAGCACACATACTAGGTAAATGAGAAGAATTCCTGAGAAGAAGCCCTTAAAACGAACAGCAAGTGTTACTGTGAGGTGCTTCCAGTTCACTACGACTCCCCTCACCCATTGGCATCTGATCCAGGGAGTGTAAGCCCAGTGGGCTGATGACCCACCCCAGCGGGCGTGGCCTGAGCAGGGCCAGCGCTGGGCATTTCAGGCTCCCTGAAGTGGCCTCCTTGAGGGAGAGGAGCCCGAGCTCTGTCAGGGCAGAGTGAGTAAAAGATGAGGTCTGATGCATCGCCCCCGACAGAATCGACAGCATGACGTGCCACCCACAGAGTGGGAGAGTGGGCGGGGGCTGCCGAGTCACTGGCAAATCGCACGTGGGAGGGAGCCAGGAAGGCCATGTCCCCTGAGCCTGAGGCACCACGACTCTCTCCAGGGGCAGCGCTCCTGGGCTCTCAGAGGGGCTGTTGACAGCTGGCATGCTGGAACTGCCTCTCTGCTTGCTTCCCAGAGCCCTCCGCTACCCAGAAGGATATGCAACTATGCCTCTGAGAAGGTTCTAGAAGCTAAACAGCAGCGTGCATCCAACCTAAACCCTCTTGGGCCCCTCTGTTCCTTTAGATTCTGCTCTGGGTGTCCTAGATGTACAGAGGAAAGAGGCCACAGAAAACATGGCCGGGGCCCCCCAGGGACCTCGGGAGAGGATGCCTATGTGCAGGATGAGTCAGAGGCTGCCGAGGGAATAGCCACCTGCACAAAGCGTGGCCCCGCAATGAGCAGGCAGACACCCCTGGGAGCATGCTCAGAGAAGGGGGCTTTGGCCATATCACAGGTCCTCACTCATTCTCATCACAGGAAGCAAAGTCACAAGGCCAAAAGGGTTACCGGGAGAGCATAGATCCAGGGATCAAGGTTCTGAGCCTCTCTGAGTCTGCTGGCTGACCTACAGAATGGGTGTCCTTATACCTAGGTGTGCCTCTTGGGTGATCTCTATATGTGGATCATAACACCAAAGCCAAGCTCACTGTCATCAACTTGATTCCAACTCAGGGCTAGTCTGTCAGACGGAGGAGAGCTGCCCCCTTGAGTTTCTGAGGCTGGCCGTCTTTGAGAAAGCAGAAAGCCCCATCCCTCTCCCACAAAGCAGCTGGTGGGTTCCAACTGCTGAACGAGTGGTAGCAGCCCAACACAAAACCCACTACACCACCAGAGTTCCTTCTGGAACACAGGATATAATAATAATGTTAAAAGTCATCGCCATTGGGCTGTCTATGTCTTTAACCACTACTCTATACCATTTACGTCTACCTGTAAAAAAAAGAAAGAAAAAGAAAACACCAGATCTGTTGCTATCCAGCCACAATCTGACTCATATCGACCCTGTAGCACAACAGGCACCTGCCCCACGAGGCTCCCACAGCTGTCGTCGTGACAGGAGCAGACTGCCAAGTCTGACGCCCTCCGAGCAGCTGGTGGGTTCAAATGGAGGGCATTTCAGTGAACCACATGTGCTTTACCAGCTGTGCCACCAGGCGCCATGCGTGTCTACAGAGAAGGCTGCACGAAACAGAACGGGAGACAGGCACCACACACATGCGCGGCCGGCACAGAGGAGGGGGTAAGAAATGCAAGATCCTATGAGCCCTGAGGCATTGTGGGTGGTGCATTGGGGTTCCTTTGAACGCCAGCTGCTCTGAGGGAGAAAGACAGTCTCAAACACTGCAAGGGCAGTTTTACCCTGTCCTGTGGGGTCGCTAGGAGTCGGAGTTGACCCAGTGGCAGTGAGATGAACACCAAGAGAAAGAGGGAGCGGACAGGGGAGGGGAGAGGAAGGAAGGGGAGGGGAGGGGAGAGGAGGAGAGGGGAGGGGAGGGAAGGGAAACCAGACCCAACTTATTCACCACCATATTCCTGCACCTTCGCCCTAGAATGGGAAGTGGCATGCTGTCAGTACACAGGGGAGGGGGAGGGGAGGGGGCATGATCAACGTGTTCATTAGCAGAAACCTGGCATTCTCGTCTCCAAGAAAAGCCCAAGGTACATTCAGAGCCTTCCCTGGCGCCATCCCCATCCTGAGACACCTGGCCTGGGAAGCGGGTGTGCAGACCCAGCCCTCCCGCCCCCGGCCCGCGCGGGTCGGCCTACCTTCCTCGACGTCGTTCCTCAGCGAGGCCTCCAGCAGCGCCACGCTGGCCTCGAAGGCCACCTTCTTGCGCCGGCCGCCCGCGCTGCGCTTCCGCTCGTGCTTGCGCTTGCGGTGCTGCAGCTCCTGCTCGTACTGCGCCCATTTCTTCAGCTGCTGCGCCCGGCGCTTCTGGGCGGCGCGCAGCCGCTCGAGCGTGGGCACCTTCTCCAGCAGCTGCAGCTCGGTCAGCAGGTCCACGTGGCTGGCCATGGCCGCCGCGCCTCGCCGCGCCCTGGCCGTGGGCTAGCACGGTGCGCCGGGGGCCCGGGCCGCGCGGGGCCGCCTGGCGGGCTGGGACCTCATGGTGGGGCCTGCAGAGACACGCAGACACACACAAGCGTCAGCAGAAACGCTCGCAACCTGACCACCGAGCCCTGCCAGTGTTCAAAACCCTACAAGGCTTCCCAAGGGGCCTGGGATGAAAGGCCCCCAGGGTCTGGTTGTGCCCACGTTGACTTTGTGCGTTTAAAACTCATCCACTTTGTCTGTGTTTCAAGTGTACAGCACCCGTGTCGAGTCTAGTGGCTGCCCTACTGGAGAGCGCCCACACAGAGCGCTTCCACCAGGGCAGAAAGTTCCATTGGACAGCATGGGTTGCCTGCTTCTCTGGTCACTCTAAGAGGGGCCTGGTCCTTCCTGCTCTCCCAGGTAAAGCTCCGGTTCTTAAGAACAGGTATGTGGGTGCTGTCCCCAGAAGGGGCATGGGGGGCGCTGCAGAGCCCAGAAAGGCTCGGGTCTATGGGACGTCCAAACCGAGGCCGGGTCTGCAGAACTGGGAGTTCTGCTCTGGGCCCCTTTCCCTCTGCTCACTAGGGGATGCCACTTGGAGATGGGATGGGCAAGCTGGAAAGAGACCAGAGGCCAGCAGGTTCTCAACGTGGTCCAGGAAGCCTGTGGGGGGAAAGAGCAGGAGGGCAAGACAATGGTCCTAAGGATACTCTTATTAACCTCTCCAAGCCCATCAGTTCCCACGTGATTTCTGAGGCTGTCTTCAGCAGATTAAATAAAGAAGCAGATCTAAGGTTACATTGATGGTTCCCACAAAGAGACACTAAAGCAGTGGTTCTCAACCTTCCTCATGCCTCGACCCTTTAATACTGTTCCTCATGTGGTGGTGACTCCCCCAATCATAAAATTATTTTCTTTGCTACTTAATAACTGTAATTTTGCTGTTATGAATCGGTGACCCCCGTGAAAAAAGGGCCCTTCGACCCCCAAAGGGGTCGCAACCCACAGGTTGAGAACCGCTGTGCTAAAGAAACTTGGAAATACTCCTTTCACTACTTTGTTTAAAAAAAAATAAAAAAACCTTCCCACAAATGTTAGTTTACTATGTAAACATGATATTCTATAACATTTTTTCCGAGGGTGAGTTATAACAATGGCTTTACTGTTATTATTGGAATGCATTTTAAATGTGTTTTACATTTCTACACAGTCATTTCTAATGTAACTATGGATAAGTATCCCTATAAAGCTCTTTGAAGTTCTCGATTTAAGTGTGGAAACTTCATTCACTGCCATCGAGTCAATTCGGACTCACAGTGATCTGTAGGACAGAGTAGAACTGCTCCTGTGGGTTTCTGAGACTATAACACCATACAGGAGTAGAAAGCCTCATTGTTTCTCCCAAGGAGCTGTTGGTGGTTTTGAACTGCTGACCTGTGGTTAGCAGCCCAACACGTAACCCACTCCACCACCACCAGGGCTCCTTTTAAGTGTGAAAGGGGGTCCTAACACCAAAAAAGTTGGGTACCTGCTGAACTACCTGGGCCAAGACCACCTTAGTTGAAGTTTCCCTCCATGGACGGCCTTTCGCAAGCTCTCTCTCTCGTTCTCATCGTTTCTTGGAAAGCATGAATTCAGTAACGAAATTTCAAATTCTGCATCCAAGCTGTCCCATCTGTCTTCATGTCAGCCCAGAGGGTACAAGTTCTCAGGTGCAGAGAGGGAAAGGCCTTGAAACAAGCAGTTGAACCTCTCTGTATTTCACCATTCCTACCTAGAAGCTATTGACCTGCCAGCATCTATGGGGTGTTCCAGGAATCAAAAAGCTGACCAACAGAAAGGTACACACTTGATAGAAATGAGAAGCAAGCTCGGTGGAGCAGGGAAAGCAGGGAAATCAAAGGGCAAGGCAGGCAGTTACTTGTGGATTGTTGGGCAGCAGTGAGAGATGGGCCCACATCTACATCTGTATCATGTGCAACTACCTGCTGTCACTGAGGGGATCAGGAGTCCTGGGCCTGGGGAAGCGACTGCTAATCTCTTGGGAGCCCTGCTTCACCACCCGCTCCCAGAATGACCTGCCTTCGGAGGCCAGGGCTAGTCCTTCACCTTCTACTCAGGGTGGGTCGGACGGCCCCTCGGCTTCATCCGGCTCTGGGACTGGAGGGTCAATTGTGTGCAGGCAGAATGGGGAGGCGGCTGGCTGAGCAATGTTCACAGAGCAAAGGTCCCAGGAGTCTGGCTGCACCTGAGCTCAAGCATAAGCAGCAGTCAGTGGGGAGACTGAGCAGGAAGCTAGCTGGCTAGCTTCGGTTGCTCGCTGTCTTGTTTTTGATTTGGGTTTTGAAAACCTTGCCATTTTGTTTTTAATTAATTAAATGTTTTGATAACTGTCGTTTCCCATGCAATGGTAAGAAACAATAGCCACTATCATGATCCAAATTCTACACTATCATGATCCAAATTCTACCTTGCAGGTCTGGCTAGACCAGAGGATGTACACTGGTACAGATCAGAGCTGGAAACACAGGGAATCCAGGGCGGATGATCCCTTCAGGACCAGTGGTGTGGGTGGCGATACTGGGAGGGTAGAGGAAGGGTAGGTTGAAAAGGGAGAACCGATTACAAGAATCTACATGTGACCTCCTCCTTGGGGGACGGACAACCAAAAAGTGGGTGAAGGGAGACGTCGGACAGGGAAGATATGACAAAATAATAATTTATAAATTATCAAGGGTTCATGAGGGAGTGGGGAGGGAGGGGGGAAATGAGGAGCTGATGCCAGGGGCTTAAGTGGAGAGCAAATGTTTTGAGAATGAAGAGGGCAATGAATGTACAAATGTGCTTTACACAATTGATGTATGTATGGATTTTGATAAGAGTTGTATGAGCCCCTAATAAAACGATTAAAAAAAGAAACAATAGCGTGATGTCGCATCCCCTTAAGCCAGTGGTGACACCTTGAATACGCAGTATCACAACCCGGAGTTGACACTCGTAAGCGTGCACCAATCTTATTCGGATGGCCCTGATTTTACATGTGTGTGTGTGGTTCAGAAAATTTCACCACCAATGTCGATTCCTGCATCCACCATCACAGTTGTCTTGCTTTTATAACTACACCCATTTCCCTCCCTCCCCCCCACCCCTCACCCCCTTGGCAACCACTCCTCTATTCTTCAAGGAGCCCTGATGGCGAACAAGTTAAGTGCTTGGCTGCAATGGCTGGTGGTATGAACCCGCCTGGTGGCTCCACCCAAGAAAAAGACCTTCCGATTTTCTCCCATAAAGATCCAGTCACTGCCATTGAGTCAGTACCAAATGTAGTGACACTACAGATAGGGTAGAACTGCCCCCTGTGGGTATCTGAGACTGTAAAATCTTTATGGGAGTAGACAGCTTCATATTTCTCCCACGGAGTGGCTGATGGTTTTGAACAGCTGACCTTGTGGTGAGTCGCCCAACACCTAACCACCACACCACCAAGAGTAGAGCCGAGAAAACCCTACCGCAGAGGTCCGCTCTGACTTGGAATCAACTCAGCGGCACAGAATTCACACAACCAAACTCACTGCCATCAAGTCAGTGCTGACTCCCAGCGACCCCCAGTGGGTTTCCAAGACTGTCACTGATGGTGGGAGTAGAAAGCCCCGTCTTTCTCCCTCAGAGCTGCTGGTGGTTTCGAACTGCCACCCATGCGGATCGCAGCCCAACTCATAAGCACTACACCACCAGGGCTCCTAGTGTGGCACAAAACACCACCTGCTAGTTTTTCAACTTATGATTTCAAGACTATTAGGTGAGCCTAAGTCGCCATCTTTTGAGGCTGGTTTTCCCAGCCAGCACCCCTTCCTGGAGACTCACTGAACTGCGGCCTGCCTCAAGGGCTCCTCCCTGTGAGGTCCAGCAGTCTATGCCCACCCACCTGGCAGGTTGGTTCCAGTTCAGGGCTACTGCTTTCCTGTCCAGGATTTTATATAAAGCATATGTTTTCATATCTGGGGGGCTAAATGCAATGGCTGGGTCATATGAGCCCTGGAACACTGGCGGCCCCGAGGGTTAAGCGCCAGGCTGCTAACCCGGTTGAGGCCCTCTGTTTCTATAAAGACTGGCAGCGTCGGAAATCCTAAGGAGTAGTTCTACTCTGTCCTACAGGGTGAGGGTGTGCCATCAGTGGGAATCAGCTCACGGCTGTGGGTTGGTTTCTTTGGGTTGGTGGTAACCCCATGATGGGTTTTAAGAGAAACTGCTAGACCCTTTTCCAGATTGGTTGTACGGCTCTTCGTCACCATCAGTACATCTACTCTCTATCTTATGATTTGTTTCTCCAGTACCCCACTCCCAAGGTACCATAATGTATTAGTCAGGGTTCTTTAGAGAAACAAATCCGCAGCAACTTATGTCTAAGAGAGTTTTATGTAAAGAAAGTGTGCATCACGAAAACATCCCAACCCAGTGCTGCCCAAGCCCACAAGTCCAACATTAACCCATTAACCCAACACCAGTCCACAAAGTCCTCCACCTCACAAAACAGAGGCAATGATGCCGACTGCAGGAGGAAAGCTGAGTCAGTGAACGAATAAGCATCTCAGCACTAGCAGGGGTCTCCACATGGCTGCTCCAGCACCCAGGGCTGCATCGGGATAGGTCCATGCGGCTTCTCCTTGGGGCTGTCTTGTAGGAAGTCAATCTTGCAAGCTGAAGCAGGGAACTGCTAAGGCAGCTGCACCCTGCTGCGACCATCACAAAGCAAGAGACCTGAGAACTGGAAAGGGGAGGTTCACCACCCATTTATCCCTCCGCCTTTCAATTAATCCCACATGTGTTTATCGGCCAGGTTGGCACAATTAACTAACTCAGGTGGTGATCCCGTTCCTCGGCCGGCAGCAGTATCATCACAGGGTTTGCCTGGGTTTTAGTGTTCGAATTTAGACACGGTATTTTGGGTCATCTTTTCAGAAGGTGCATGGGAGTGCTGAACGCACAATCACACAGTA